AACTGCCTAAAGTCGCGATAAACATCACTCTATGCAACAAAATGAACTAAGCTTTCTTTTCCATTGACTGATACGTTTTCTAAGATTACTGGAGTTTGTCTTTGCTTTCTTATTTGCTATTTCTAAAGCGTTTGAAATTTCGACAAGAAATCCTTTTTCTCATCTTCCCATCGAAAAACTGTTATTTTTTCGTTCTTATTTAAGGCATTATCAATCATATTACCAATCTGCAATTATCGTTTCTCTTTTGCCAGAATATGAAGAAGAGGGAGATCAACTGGAGGATTCAACATTAGATAATAATGCTTTCGCGCTAAACACCCCCGTAGACGCTGAAGATAGTGAATATGGTTCGTAGAAAAAAATAATAGAAATTGAATTGAATTTTAAAAGAAAACTACACATTGCAATAACTTGAACAAATAAATTTTCTGCAAAAAAATTATGCAGATGGTAACTAGGTGACAAACCAGAAGGCGACTGTTTTAACCCTTTGCACCCTAACATTGGCATGCATATTCTCCATACTGTTCTCTATACAATTCGTAAGATACCAACAAGAAGAACTTGTTTAACAACCAAGAGCTTCTTTAGTTGGTGATCATTTCCAATATTCTCGCGACCTAAATGGACGATTTAAAGGTGATATGGTAAGGAGAAATGAGATGTTAGTCACTCATAGGGGTAAAAAGGTTTAAGAGGCCGCCTCGAAGAGTGAAACAGCCACATGGGTGTTATGCCAATAACAACAAACACACATGACGATGTACAATCTCCTCTAGTCATGATAGGAATCCCTGTCATTTTGTAAAACTGTAATCATACAATAAATTTAAAGTATTAGCCCAAATGAACGATAACTAAATTAAGGTAATCCCTTTGTCAAGCAATTAAAATCATCAATGGAGTTCTACAATTCAAGTAAGAAAGAAAATAATCTTTCTTCCGTCTATCGTTCTTGAAAAAGATATTGTACTACAAGGAATAAAATGTATTTACGAGCGCACTCACGTTTGATTTTCCGAAAGAGCGAAAAAGAATACTTCTGAAACTATATTCAGGGAAACCACGTACAAACCTTGCCAACGGTGATCACATTTATTTTTTCTGAGACCTAATGCCTAACTATATAAATCTGTTCTTTATTTAGACTCTCGCCAAGATGACCCGGCTGTCGATAAACTACAAACCGTCCCTGAGGATGACATTTCATGCAACATCCCATACAATTACACTCTGACCCACAAGTGCTGCTATGGCAAACTGGTTCCAAAGAGCTCCATTTGCGGAGCTAGATGTGGTTTGTCTACCTACAATCCACTGACCTATAAGTGCTGTTACGGCAAAGTGGTTCTTAAGTGTTTCCCTTGCCCAGGCAGATGTGGCCTGCTGAGCTACAACCCATGGACCCAGAAATGTTGTTATGGCAAAGTGGTTCTCAAAAGTTTCCTTTGTCCGGCCAAATGTGGCCTCGTAGGCTACAATCCATGGACCCAGAAGTGTTGTTACGGCAAAGTGGTCTCCAAACGTTTCACCTGCCCAGGCAGATGCGGCTCAACTGCATTCAATCCATGGACCCATAAGTGCTGCTATAACAGATTGGTTACCAAGAGTTATACATGCCCAGCGAAATGTGGCCTTACAAGCTACAATCCGTGGACCCACAAGTGCTGCTACAACAGAGTGGTTACCAAGA